TGGAATAAAGTCCCTGCGACGGTTTTCCCTGCAGGTTACAACCTGAACCGTTTTAAGACCAACATACACCGACATTTCCGCGCACTTGCCGCTTCTCGAGCGTGATAGGACATTTCCTTGCGAGTGCGCATATCCATAAAAAAAAAAATAAAAAAAAATACGTTTTTCTCTGATTTTTAAAAATTTTATCATTATTATGCCCGTATTACATCTGTGTATTTTTCCGTGTATTTATTCATGTAGTTCAGGGTGACAACCGAAAAACTTCAAACGCAACATAAATCAGCATTATGAAAAACAAAATAACGTTGGCACCCTGAACTACATGAATAAATACACGGAAAAATACACAGATGTAATACGGGCATTAGAATTGGTTTACTTAGCTTAAATTCAATGATTAGCTTAGCATTATATAAATAAAACGATATACCTATTAATTATGACCGAAGAAGGAAATTCCAAAGGCCAATCCGCCAACCTGTAATTTGTGATATGTTTATAGTAGCAAAAGTAAGTATGTGCGAATATTTTTTTCCATTATAACTTAAAAATTTACAACTCGACGCAACCCAAAACAACAACAAAACAAATAACGGTGGAAAATGTGGAAATCAACCAAATTAAATACAATGAAGTATGACGTTTGACGACAAGGTGAAGCCGGCGCCACACGATGTGTCGAATGCCTTCCAACGTTGGACATAGCGATTTGTGGCATCGTGTAGCCGTGCGCTCATCGGATACATTTGCCGAATGCTAGAGCAAAAAACACTGTACCCAACGTTGGATCTAATGTTGGGGCCAATGGTTGGACACATCGTGTGGCGCCGGCTTAACGCAAAATCATACTACGTGACGTCATCCAGATTCGCGCGCATTTAAGGTCGTTTGAAATGCTTTTAATTCGCGCGAAACTTTAAACATTTTTCACCAAGTTATTATTGAGTTTTAGCGAATAATATTTGGGGAATACTCTTTCAAGGCATAAATAAATGATTTAATAAAATAAAAAAAAAAAATTGTAAAGTTCCCTATTAACGAAAAAAAAATCCGCTGGGCATTATAAGAGGAATAAATGGGCTGCCGATTGTCGAGGGTCACGAAATATTTGGCCCCGTTTAGAAATTACAGTGAATGCAAGAAAGGGGTAGGTTTCGATGCAATTTACAACTTTCTAGTACACATTAGGCGAGTCCGACCTTACTTAATTTTTAAGCGAAAAATTCGAACAAAAAAGCATTGGAGAGTGCATCTCATTAGCAATAATGTGGTACTTGAATAATTAAAATAAGATTCTGCATTCAACCGCTGCTGCAGCAAATGCAGCCAAACAGGCAAAACGCTGATTCAGTGACCTTAAACAAAAATATGCTACTAGTCTAGACGCTGCAGAAAAAAAACTCTAGAAGATGAAGGGGTGCTGTCCTGGACTTTTCTATAGCAAATCAGCTACAACAATCATTTGAAACTTTTTGCTATTGGACCATCCCTTTGAGCAGCGTTCTCCATAAACCGCAAATTTCCCCTAAAAAACACCCCTAACTAAAAAACCTATGGGAGCTCAAGGTCGCAAACTTAATATGTTATTTAGCACATGAAAATGGACCGATCTCTCCAAAAAAAATGTTAACTTCTAATTATGTTGAGGTAAACCGTCTTTTCATATCCCCGTTTCTTGGACTAATAAGTGATAATCAAATAATTAATCTAGAATGGCGATCTGAAGGTAATTTTTTTACATTCAAGTAAGTAACAATTTGGGGCCCTCCACGAAGAAATAGAAACCAAATTACAAATTATTCCAGGTTTTAAATTGTTTCCAATTCAATGGTTCAATTCCTGCCTTTTCAGAATACCAATCAACCAGCTGACTCAAGAAAAAGTGTGAAAGCTTAGGTTGTGTCCATCATAACAACAACAATAGTAGGTATCCAAAACAGCGGCTTCAATATCACAAAATATGGTGATGAATAAGGTAGAATGAATACACAAAGCCCTAAACCTATATCACATACAACAAGAATTATCAGTGAGAAGCTAAGGAACGACAATAGGCCAGTTCGACATTTTTTATTCCAACTGAAATCGAGAGATTTTGTTATTAAAATACGATTAAAAAAATTTGAGCGCAAAATATTAATATTTGCGTTTGTTGCGAGCAGTTTAAAATCAGCGTTTGCGTAAAGGTCTATAAGGAGAGTATACGAATTCACGTGGCGTATCTGGCTAGTGACGTCACGCAGCCTAGTCTCGCGTACAGGTAGGTTTTTCATTCTGGCGCCGATCTTTGATTTTTAACTGCTCGCAACAAACGCAAATATTAATATTTTGCGCTCAAATTTTTTTTGATCGTTTTTTAATAACAAAATCTCTCGATCGAGTTTAAATAATAGAATAACAAAATATGTTGAACCTTCCTATTCAGCGTTTAAACCTACTAATGAAGTGATTTGGCTATTCTTTTTAAACAATATTAGAGACAATAGGACTAACATGGGAACATATCAGATTGGTAAAATAATCTAACAATAAATAAATACGTATTTTTTAGGTATGGCTATGTTTGTATAAACTTGAAATGTAACTGTGAGTCGTGCTCAATTCTTTAGTGTCCGTCCTAAGATTGAGGGTCTTATTTAGGGTGATATGAATTATCTCACCAATCAACCGTTTGGTATAATTATGTTCTGTATCAACAATTTCTGCCTTTTCAAACTGAAACTGGTGACCAGTCTCGAAATGGTGTTTTAGATAAAGCTATCTTTCCAGCATCATACTGTCTAGTATTCCTACAGTTATTTGTATTTTTATATTTTAAATTTTTTTAGAAGTTTTTATCGTCTGTTATATAATTTATAGAGTGTTAATTTTAGTGGCATGCAAACGTATTAATTAAAAGTTGATGAAAAATGTTCTTGTCTCGACTGGGATATGAACCCAGGACCCCTACATTTCCAGTGTAACGCTCTACCAACTGACCTACCAAGACCTGTTTCATTTCTACCTTGTCCATCAAGTCTTTCATCAATTTTTAAGTTGTTAGTTGTGACCATCGGCAACCTTCGGCGGTTACCGTTGGTATGGAAGTGAGTTAGGAGGTATGGGGAACACATTCGCAATTAATGGTTGTTTGGAATCCATTATCCCTTCAACCAGATGCGTCGTCGACATATAGCGACATCGGCAGGCATCGGAATCGGACGCCCAACCATCAATATCAAGCCAAATATTTTTACAATTTTTTAGAAGTTTTTATCGTCTGTTATATAATTTATAGAGTGTTAATTTTAGTGGCATGCAGACGTATTGTTGCGCACAAAATTTACCCTTAAACTGTTTGAATACTTAATTTGAATAATAAATCCTAATAGGCCTAGGTACAGTAAGACACCCTTAAGGAATGCGGCCAACGGAACAAAGTGCTCGCGGCTACTCAGTGGTGTGGGAGTAGGATCAATATTCAAAGTTAGCTTTATATGGCTTACAAAATAAAATCCGCGGACTTAAACCAGAAAGTCCCTAATCTCCAAAATTCCTATATAGTCGGGGCGGTTAGTCGAATAATCTTGCAAATTGTGATAAAAGCATGAAATTTGGTACAGATGATTTTTTTACAATTATAAGCGATTTGACGCGCATGACCCCCTTGTCGGGCCTATAGGAGCAAGATGGCGACCATTTACAAAATGGCGGCTATCAAGAGGTTAAAATTGGTAATTGTGAATCGATTTCAGCAAAATTGGTGTCGGTTTGGAATAATTTTTGATCGGAAAATGTGAGAAAATATATAATTAAGTGATTGAAATTTGAATAATACAGGGTGTCCTAGCCAAGAGTCACCCATTTCAAATGCTCATAACTTTTGAACCAAGTATGCCAGCCACCTGCGGTTTACGACATTCGACTTCTCTTGGCCTAAAGTTTTTTTTTTTTTTTTGGTTAGTTGCTCATTTTTTTGATACTTATACCGGGCCAGTAGAGAAAATGCAGTTTTTCAACATCGAAATTCTCCACTATTTTCAATGGAACACCCTGTATATTACAATATAAAAAAACGAGTCATGTTCAAGGTATCCATGTACCAATGTTTTCAACCGTAAAAAAATTAAATCGAAATCCTGGGTATTTTTGCAAACGCATTTTTTATTAGCATATTCACAAAGCTTCGAAATTATCTTAAACTGTAAAAAGAAATGTATATGTTGGGCATTTTGCTCCACGCATTTATGGAGTCGAATCAGTAAATGGTTGAAGGAATTATGTAACATTTTCTGAGGAATCGTTTCAATGACATTACGAATGTTCCGCTTAAGATCTTCCAGGCTATTTGGCAAAGGATTATACTCTCCTTGATATAACCCCAGAGAAAAAGGTCTGGAACTTTCAAGTCAGGAGAGTAAGGTGCCCATTTTATAGAACCAGCTCTTCCTATATCCATCTTTCCCCAACTATCATATCTAGTGATTCCTGCTGAAAATAGATCTCATATAAGATACACTCCAACATGTAGTTGCATGCGTTTTCAAAAATAAGTACCAGGATTTATTAGAAATAGTCGAGAATTTCCATGTTGAAACACAGCAGTTTTTTTACTGGCCCTGTACAAATATCAGAAAACTTTGCAACAAACTAAAAAAAAACATTAGGCCAAGTGCAAACCTCAGATAGTCGGCACCGGCACACCTGGTTTGTAAATTATAATGGTTGGTGAAATGGTTCACTCTCGACTGGGACACCCTGTATAATCAAATTTCAAATTTGTATGACCTCTGTTTAGAAATGTTATCAACAGAATATATTTTTACACCTAAATTACTACGTACCTATCTATAATGTACCGAGTGATCGGCGGCGGGAAGAGGGTTGATGTGCAAGGGGGTAGGGGTGCAATAAAAATAAACTGCCCGAGATGTGCTCAAGGAAAAACCCAAACTAAAGATGCAGGAACACAGACAGGGGAAATCTCAATCGAAAGTATAAATAGCTTCCAAGCATGGATGGCAGCACAGAAGGAAAAATGGCCAAGGCAAGGGTACCAGAACACAGATGTAGTTATAGGCAACCCACTAAAAACCGGCAACGAAACGGTCAAAGTGGTATTGGTTGAACCAAATGACCTAGACATGGAACAAGGCATTCAACAAATGTATAAAACAAGGTTCCCGGGCATAGAGGATCTCAAGAACGATCTTGAAGTACTAGAGCAAACGACAAAAATGAAAACGAACGGGCAGAACAAAGAAATCAAGCAGAAAGTAGTAAAGATAACCCTTGGTCCGACAGAAGAAGATATGTGGAACAAGCTAAAAAGGCTGAAACAAGAAACAGAAAATGACCAAGTGGTCGCTATAAACCACGCAGAAGGGACTACGCTAGAATGCCTAAGAAAAATGACGGAAGCAATCTTCCACAAATCAACGACAAAAGTGAATATCTACACCACAAACAGGAAAACGCTCGAAGAAGGACAACTAGCAACAAAAATGAGGGAGGCAAATAAACCTGAAAGAAACTCATATGCCCTGGTAGTAGAGGAAGCGGGTAAAGACGCAAAAACTCTAATGAGGGACATAAAAGGTAAGCTCACCAAAACAGCCGGGAGCGAGAAAATCCTGAGCATAAGAAATACAAAAGAGGGAAAGCTACTTATCACACTGGAAAAAGATGAGAAAACGGCACACAACTTTGACGAAGCTATAAAGAGCATCTCAGAAAACGTCAAAACCAGGGTCCTTGGAGCAACGGTACAAGACAAAGAAACGTTCCACATCAGGGGAATGGACTCACTCACAACAAAGGAAGAGGTGCTAGAGGCAATTGAAGAGAAAACCGGTAAATTAACTGAACACTCTTTCAAACTGAGCGAGCTTAGGCCGCAGGCAAACGGAACGCAAGCCGTCACCCTAACAGTCGAAAAGAAACTCGCGGAAAAGTTAACCGCAGATAAGTATATCAAGATAGGCCTCGTAAGATGCTATATAGAAAAGAACGTCACCGTTGAGAGGTGCAGGAAATGCTGGTCACATAACCACATAACAAGCAACTGCACGGGTCCGGATAGAACGAAGGCTTGCTACAAGTGTGGGAAGGAGGGACACCAAGCGAAGGATTGCCAAGAAGAAGAAAGCTGTCCAATATGCCAAACCAACGGCCACAGAGCAGGCACTGGGAAATGCCTCGCGTTCAAAAAATCGTTAACAGCAAGAAGAAAGTTTGAAAGGCAGATAAGCAAGCAAACAAACAATGGAAATGGCGACCACTAATAGAATAAGAACACCGACTCTCAAATTAATACAAGTAAACCTTAACAGATGCCGAGTGTGGCCCACGACTTACTATCAGCAACAGCAAAAAAACTAAATATTGACATACTCGCAGTATCAGAGCCAAATATAAAAGAAATGGATAGCCCCCAGTGGGTCTACGACAACAACAAAGACGCGTCTATAAAAATAGTGAACCCAAAACTGCCGCGTGGATCGTCGGGGGCTGGAGACAGCTTCGTTTGGACAGAACTCCCAACCTTCTGCCTCTTCAGCTGCTACATCGCACCTAGCAAGACAATTGAAGACTTCCAAAAGGTACTCGAAGACATCGCATCAAAAATAGGCACCATCAACGGAAGCATAATTATGACAGGCGACTTTAATGCTAGTGCACTGGAATGGGGCGGGAAAAAAACGGACCAAAGAGGGGCACTCTTAGGTGATTGGATGGCGACCAATAATCTGACCCTTTTAAACACGGGAACGGAAGCAACATTCTCGAGGGGTAGTGGCAGCTCCATCGTCGACCTAACCATGACAAGGGGGAAAGTAGGAACAGCAATAACAGATTGGAGGGTTCTGGACATCGAATCATTCAGTGACCACAGATACATTTATATCGAAATAACAGGAGACGCGAAGATCCCGATAGAGGTAAAATCCAGCACGAAGAAATGGAATCTGCGAAAACTGAACCAGGAAAAGCTCACTAAAGGCATAAATAACCTAGAGGGGCGACTGATCACAACACCGAGACAATTAACGGACACCCTCACGGAGTTATGCAATGCCTCGATACCACTCTTAAGACAAACAGAAAGCAGGAAACCAGTCTATTGGTGGACACACGAGATATCAGGACTTAGAAAGAAATGCCTAGCTGCCCGACGTAAACTCACGAGAAATAATAAGCGACGAGCATCAGAAACTGGCCAGTACGCGGAAGACTACGCGGAGAAGAAAAAAGAACTGAAGCTGGCGATCTACAATGCCAAAAGGTGCTGCTGGCAAAAGCTATGCGAGGAGATCGATAATAACCCCTGGGGGGAGGGCTATAAAATAGCTACCAGAAAACTCAAGTGCAAAACACAAGCACAGGCACTCTCAATGACGACGACAATAGAAGCAGCCAAAGGACTATTCCCCGAGCGAGACCTCGTCTCATGGATGGAGATGGAAGTGGACGAGAATGCAGTGCCCAACGTAACCAGGGAAGAGATAGTGACCGCAGCCGAGAAGTTAAAACCAAAAAAAGCGCCCGGTGTAGACGGCATACCAGCCGAAATCCTCCAAATAACGATGCGCACTAAACCAGAAATCTTCTGTCCCATCTTCACCTCGGTACTAAAAAGGGGGGAGTTCCCTGAAGAATGGAAAGTGGCTAAGCTCGCACTCATCGAGAAACCAAAAAAGAAACAAGGAGAAAAAACTAAATACAGACCCATCTGCCTCCTAAACACCTCTGGCAAGTACCTGGAGCACTTGATAAGGGCTAGACTAGAGGAGGACCTCAATCTCAAGGAAACCCTTTCAGAGAGACAGTTCGGCTTTAGACCAGGAAGGTCGACTGTAGACGCTATAAAAAAGGTAACGGAAATCCTAAGGTCCGGTATACAAAAAAAGAGTCATAGACACCGGCGGGTCGGGGCACTGGTCACGTTGGACATCAAGAACGCCTTTAACACTGCACCATGGTGGGAAACGGTCGTGGAACTCGAAAGGAGAAGAGTCGCCCCCTACATGAAAAAAATAATCACGAGCTACTTTACGAACAGGAAAATTATCTTAGAAGCAGAGGGACAAACAGAGGAAATGGCTATGACATGCGGTGTTCCGCAGGGCTCAGTTCTAGGCCCAACGTTGTGGAACATCCTCTACGACGGACTACTCAAGCTAGCACAACCACGAGAAGTCACGCTAGTGGGCTACGCGGACGACATCGCCATGGTGGTACTGGGGAAAGATACGGAGGAGATACAAATGAAGTTAGACACAGCAATGACAGATATCGAGGAATGGCTGCGGGCTAACCACCTAGAGCTGGCACCGGAGAAGACCGAGGTGCTACTAGCGACCCGAAAAAAGATACCACCTCAAGCAACGTTCAGAATCCTGGGAAAAGAAATTACTGCAAAAAACGCCATAAAGTATCTAGGAGTATGGATAGATACAAAACTTGACTTTTCCACTCATGTAGAGAACACCGCAACTAGAGCGTACCAAACTGCAATGACACTAGGTAGACTAATGCCAAATGTGGGAGGCCCCAGGGCCAGCAAACGGAAACTGCTCGTCTCGGTCACTAACTCGATACTGTTATACGCAGCCCCGGCCTGGGCGGAGGGAATGAAGTTGAGAAAGAACGAAAGGAAGTACAGGAGAGTACAGAGGCAGAGTGCCCTGAGAGTGTGCAGTGCCTACAGGACGGTGCCGACGGAGGCGCTCCTAGTAGTGGCCGAACAACTCCCTATAGACTTGATGATACAGGAAAGAATCGAAGTACATGACGCAGAAAGGCATGAAAAAGGGCAAGTACGCAGCGAGGTAAGAGCAAGAAACCAGCAATCATGGCAAGAGAGATGGCAGCAGAACACAAGTGAAGGCTGTAAGTGGACCAAAAGGTTAATCCCACAACTTGAAGGCTGGATAAATAGAAAACACGGAGAAGTCAACTACTACCTTACGCAAGCCCTCACAGGGCATGGTAGTTTCAGGTATTTCACATACTGCATCGGTAAAACGGAAGATCACGAGTGCATCTACTGCGGGGAGACCGACACCGCAGAGCACACAATATTCCACTGCCCGAAATGGGAAGAGAGAGAGTCCTGCTACGGCAGGATAGGCATGACCCTCACACCAGAAAATCTGACCACTGAAATGACGAGTGACGGCCGCAAGTGGGCCGAGATTGAGAGTATGATTAATGACATAATGAGAAAAAAGGAGACGGAGGAGAGAGAATACAAATGAGATAAACAAGGCTTACAAATAGGACGCAGGTTCCTGACAGAAGGAAAGGGTACCGCAGCTCCCCCGAAGTAATGTCGGAAGGCGGTTCCAGGGGAGATAGGCGAAGAGTAGGGGAAGGGTTTTAGTGGGTAGGCCTCGGCGGAGTCCCACACTACCTTGGAGCGCCCGAACATCAATGCCCCAAGGTGTGCGTAAAAGCATTTCCAATCCCTACTATAAAAAAAAAAAAAAAAAAAAAAAAAAAAAAAAAAAAAAAAGGGGTGCAAGAAGGATGTGGAATTTACCGAACTAAAAATTAATTATCTATAGATTAATTAAAAAAAATATATATTTCTAATGAAATAGTTATTTTCCTAACAAGTGCGGAAAGTATCATTTTTCCGCAAATGTTGGGAACACAATTTTTCCTACGAGCAGACAATAAAAAGTACAAAAATAAAAAAATGTATAAATCTAAATTAGGCAATTAACAACATTTTTTATTTATGTTTAACTATTTTAATGGTGAATGTTCAATTTCCAGCAAATTGTAAATTTCTCGCTGATGCATATCGTAAGTCAACACGACGCGACGACGTGCGTAAAAAAAATTCCACACTAGGTGGAACAATTACTCTTCCCGCAGGCCAATGCGTGCGGAAAAAGAGCTTTTGATACCTACATTTTGTTTTTTTACATAGTTTCAATATAACCATAGGTAATTCCTCAAAAAAATTAAAAAAAATAATCTTTTCTGAGTTAAGATTATATTGTAATACAAAAAAACATGTTCTGTTGTATTTTTTGACCCAAAATTATTCGAAAACGACCCTAATTTTGATAAAATCGATCCACAATTAAAAATTTTAATTTCTTGGTCCGCTATTTTGCGAATAAGCGCCATCTTGCTCCTTTACTGGCCCGGTTTAAGTATCAAAAAAATGAGAAACTAACGGAAAAAAAAACTTTAGGCCAAGAGAAGTCGAATGGCGCAAACCGCAGGTGGCTAGCATACTTGGTTCAAAAGTTATGAGCATTTGAAATGGGTCACTCTCGGCTGGGACACCCTGTATTATTCAAATTTCAATCACTTAATTATATATTTTCTTACATTTTCCGATCAAAAATTATTCGAAAACGACCCCAATTTTGCTGAAATCGATTCGCAATTACCAATTTTAACCTTTTGATAGCCGCCATTTTGCAAATGGTCGCCATCTTGCTCCTATGGATCCGACAAGGGGGTCATGCGTGTCAAATCGCTTATAATTGCAAAAAAATCATCTGTATAAAATTTCATGCTTTTATCACAATTTGCAAGATTCTGCCCATTTTTCTGATTAACCGCCCCGACTATATAAAAATGTACCTACCCAATGTACCTATCCTTTAATACAACTTTACCTTAGTTTGGTTGAAGTCAGTAGGGATAAAATAAGAGTCAAATCTAAAAACAATGATCATAAATCTATTTAATAAAATGGGGGGTGGCATATTTAGAACTGAAATTTACAAGACCAATAGGAGGCAATGTATTAAATATAGTACCACAGTAATTATTATTAAATGTAATAGTAAAAATTAACAAAAGGTAGCAAGGACCAATTTGCAATGGTCTTAAATAAGACACTCCAAATATATTCAAAAGTTACCAATAAAAGTTTGACTACCTTACTCCAATGAGAGTGCAAGAGAACAAATAAGGAATAAAAAGGCTAATAGTATTATTTTAAACCTGTGCACGCTTATACCATGGTATACCGGGGCAGGTTTGTACAAAAATGTCACCGTAAATATAGTACATTAAAAAGCATTGGTACTGTACACCCATTGTTAAGGCAGTAAAACAACCTTGGAAATATACCAAGTAAATATAAGAAATACCATTAATAGTATTTAAAAATAATAATTAAGAAACATTAAGTAATTTACGGGTACATCGCCCCTTGTGGTCCTCCCTGCAGTCTAAACACCC